TTGTCTGAGAATGTATCCTTTTAAATTCTTTTCCCTAATTTTAATAACTTGGTCGATTCAAGTTCAAGAGCCAATATCCATGTAAATATAACCGATAACGTATTTATTACAAAAATAAATTAATATAGCTATATTATAATCGTATAGATTAGTTATCAAACAAATAAAAATCATCTAATGATTTTAGAGATGACATAATTTAATCTCTAATGACTTAATGATTAGGGAATAAATGCATTTGCTAAATGTGTATAATTCTCTTTGTTTATGAAATCGTCATGTTTGGCTATCTAACAAGTATACCATTGCACAGATGTGGAACAAACTGTCTGCATAAATTCAGTTAACAAATCAATTTTATTACAAAATACAAAGCCGTGCCAGTGAACGGTCTCGATTTACAGGTACCCGCCATATGATTTTGAGCTAGGCGGATAATATATACCATCCATCTATAGAAGAATAAGGTAGTTCCGTGATTGTGTTGGAGAATATTGTTAGAAACGATGTAACAATATTTTTTGGATATTCCAACTTGTGTAATTTAAATGTGTAGAAGTCTAACAAAGATGAACTATAAGAATAGTTTATTGCAGTGCGCTTATCTACTGGAGTTATTTTGAAAGGTCAACGAACTGTAGAGACCCTCTTCGGCCTATTGGGAATGTCTTTTCGTATTTGCGTCCCTATATTTTCAGTCTTTAACGCGACTGAAGATTTTTACAGTATTTGCATAGAAGCAAATCTAAGACATATTTATGCCTGGTCTTCTGTACAAGAGACTATGTAGATCGCGGTTGTTGGATATTGCATCCCAAATATGGACAAACGTCCATCCTGTAAAAATATTCTGTCCTATTATGGTTGTCTGAGTGTATTTGAGATAATTTCATTGCGTTTCTGACAGTCTTCGTTTTACTTTCCTTTTTGTGGGATTATACACGTAACATGTGTTGTCGTCTCTTCCGAGCAGATTGTGGTATAGGGTATTTTTGTATTGCAGGAAGAATGGCATTGAAGAATTAAAATTATCCACCCAAATTTGGTATTGAATCCAGTATGCATTTTCCTAGTCTAAACAGTGTGTTGTCATTATACGTGCCATTTTTTTTTTCTTGTATACTTCCTATACTTATTCTTTTTGGGGATGTTTTTCTTACAAGTAGGTTATATAGAGTGTCCTGGTCCTCGGGGGGTGGGGGGTGGGGCCTATGATTTTCTAACCAGTGGGGATTTTGCTTCCAGGGGGCCTGAGTGGGGTTGCCCAGGGTGGGTGGCGGTTTTGGGTTGTGGTTGGTGGTCTGGTGTGTTTTGGATGGTTTTTTCTTTTTTTTTTCCATTTTTTGGACTGGGTCCATTTGTGTTGTTTAATATTTGAGTGAATAACGTGGGACAACCATTAAATTATAAATTAATATGCGACTAAGGAATACATTGGGTGGTTGTAGCGTAATTGGGGAACACACTATCAGCTAAAATTACTTGATTCTCTTTCTTTGTTATCAGTAATATTGTCAGGATAAATACTATTTACTCTGGAAGTCCAGAATTTGAATGAATAGATATAATTATTAGAGTACACACATTTTAATTAAATCCACTCATTTCAACAATGAGCGTGCGTGTGTAACCGTTGGGTAATCTACACAAGAGTAGGGCATGCGCGAGCAGTGTACATATGTACAATAGGTTTACATAGGTACTTATATAAACAAAAACCAGATGCGTTGGTACAAGATTTTTATTTACTCGTTCAGTTGGAGAGGTCATCTGGATTGTGAGCGCGGTATCGACATAGGAACTTATGATGTAATGCGGAGAGTTGTAACTGTATAAGGACGTGTTAAGAATAGAGTACAGCAAAATCTCAAATACATTAACACGCGTGCGTATTATCTCTGACCATGTGGTGTGAATGAGTGAAATAATATCATTAGAAATAAGAACAGTGGTGTGTTTTCAACGCTTTTTTTTCTTACGAGCATTGTATGAGATCAGATGTAATTGGAGAAAGAGTATTATAACAAGACTATCTTTGCGGTTCTCAGCCCATTCTTCTTCTCTCGAAAGTATTTTATCGAACATTAAATCGTCCCTGCTCGATCTCTAGGAATTTTTCCTAAGTACCTTGTTATAAGAAGTTTGATAATAACTAAACTTCATTAATCATCAATCTGTCTCTGCACAATAAGTGTGAGTAAAGTAGAGCGGGAGATGATGGCAGCGTGAGTTCTACTTATTTAATGTTGGGTTTAATATTTCATGCCAGTCACTCAATCGTTATATCTTTACTTATACTCGTGTAAGGCAATAAACGCGTGCGTCGTTCGCTTCACCGGCGGAACTGGTCACGGAATTCTTGAGCCCAAGATACGGTGTGACGGTTCGTGATTTGGGGGGCGGTGCTGGGTGTCAGTCTGGCGGGTAGTACCAGGCTAGTGTTCGGGGTGACTAAATCGCTCAAGCGTCAACGTACCTCCTATCACCTACTTCTGTGCGAAGTAACTGACCCACGGTGCAGGTGTCCTGATACCTCTGTAGAGCAAATCGGCAAAAGCTTTGGCTTGCTCCTAATGCGTTAGGATGCATAGAGACTGCGAAAGCTCGGCCTATAGCGAGCAACTTTTTGACCCTAAAGAGGGTTTGCAGCAAGCAGTGTTTTTCTGTATAGGTACCGACAGGGATAACTGACTTGTGGGCGGTCTCAAGTGTTCATGCGTGACCGTTAGCTTTTGTGCAGTTGTCATTGCATGTCCGGTATCTTTTCCTATCCTGGGGGCGGGGGGGAGGAGGGGGCATAATGGGGGGGGTCACACGCAGCTTGGGAGTGTCTTACACCCTATGATGACAGGTGAACGTGAGCGGAGTTTAGACCGTGTTGTGAGACAGGTTTAGTTTGTACCCCTACTGATGACTTCGTCCGTTGCGATAGTACTGGTCAGGTACAGTGAAACCACAAGGTTCAGAGACATTTTATGTGGACGCACTTACTCGAGCGGGTACTGATGCTATGCGTAACCATCATTCGCACAAAAGCATTGGGTAATTCTACGTTAACATAGCAAACATTGTATATTGTGTTACCCTCGCTGTTTCCTATTTGTCCGTCTCGCTGTTCATAGTTTACTAATGTGGTTCCTTTCCCTGGTACGAAGTCGCATTGGTCTTCAGCTATCTCTGGTGGTAAGTGGCAATTCTTTAAAAACCGTTCCATTAAGTAAAATGTAGTAGGATTTTGCTTGCATGATGAATAAGGTTATACTAAATCAAGGCAAATACGACCTACCTCATGTGTAATTTTAGATGGTAAAATGGAAGGAAAAAGGTCCCAGGACGAAGAAGAATATCGCGTGGCTTGCTAATCTGAGAGGCATGGTATAGAAAAAGACCACCTCAAAAACACAGCAGCTGTTTCGCGTAGAGCAAACCAACAAAGTTCATCGTACGGCACCCCATGAAGAAGATGAACTTAAGGCAATCGGTTGCTGCAAGTGCTGCAAATGTTGTGTGGTATGCCGATTAGTGATGATTTTTATGGGATTGGAACAAAGTTGAATCGCACCACGCGGCAGGCCAGTCCCCTGGGCCCACAGCATTCTGTTGTACCTTATCCAATATTACGTACATGGTACATTTGCCCATTGCTTTGTAGAGCCTCCTGATGTGTATGAGCTAGCTAATTCCTGAAATTTTTTTTTCTCAGTTGGTTGAGAGCCTTCTCTAATTAATGCTCAGAAAAGGAGTGGAATTTAACCTTTGATTTGCAGGTGTTCTTGTGGGTTTGCCGACTGATGCATCTTTTGAAGTGTCTTGTATAATTCTGAACAGTAATTTTTTAAGAATCTGCAGTGCTTCCTATGTCGGATTTATTTCTACATTATGGTCTTAAATGACTTAAAGTTGCGGCTTGAACTCTCTGGCTAAATATTTAACTTTTTTAGATAGTTCATGACTTTCATGGCGGTTTGCATGTTGCTCCAGTTCGTGGCACACGTTATTTAGATGGTTGTTTTTATCTCTGAAGCACATACATTTCATATTCCTGCTTAGTTTCGCCATTTCTTAAATTTTGTTTTCCTGTTTTTGTGGTATGTTGTAGAATCTGATTAAGTCTTCTTTCTTCTTCTAATTCTAAGGTTTCACCTGACATCCAATGTTTGTCCTTTTGTATGCTGTATTTTTCTAGTTGTATGAAGTTTAAACCTGTAGTTCATTTTTAGCAGTTTATGATCTTATTCACAGTATATTTCAGGTATAAGCTTTACGTTTATTACTGAGGTTTTCCATCTTTTCCGCACTATTTGATTTTTGTGTTCTGTATTTGGACTCATCCACGTTGATAGCCTTCTTAGGTGGTGTTTACGAAATGAATTTGTTGTTCCAGATTATGTAGGTAGCCACATTATTGTTTATGAAAATTACTACATAACTTGAGCATAAACACTGCGCTAATATTTATTTTCAAATGATTTATACATACATATAACGAACGATGCAATATTGACACAGAAAAAATACTGTATCCGATATATTAGTTGTTCACCATTGACTTATTCAATATAGCCATCTTAACGATACAATGCAATAAACCAGTCTGCGACTTTTCCATTATGTTTGGTCTACTTATTAGCGCCGCGTTCTCTAAATTTAAATGTAACAATTAGCACATTCGCCGGCGCGGTTTACGCCGGTCCTGCATAAGTTGATTGTCGGTTTTCGATTTCAAATTGAATTAACATTCTTATCAACGAGATATCAAGTTTATCTCTCAACGATTCGCAATTTTATTGTTTTCTCAGTATACACATTTCGAACCGACATAAATCAGTTCACCTAAAATGGAAAAACTGTTTAATTTGTTGTTGTCTAATTAAAAATAAATTTTCGTCACTTATAACTTAATGTATTGTTGGAAGTGTAATCGTGAATCGATTTGTCGTAAGTGCAGTGTTTTTTAGTGCTTTTTTTTTGTTATTTTTGTGCCATGTAATACACAGAAGATGGTAGACAGAACTTGGTTGAGAAAACTTTTCGCCGATTTCGCAGAAGCTACTGTTTTATGGGCATATCATCCCATATATTCGTACGAACCCTCTTCACTAATTGGAAACACCACTGGTGGTTAGTGATAAACTATTTAAAGTATTTAGTGCTTAAGTATTCATACATCTATGAGTCTAATTATTAGGAAAAGCTGGTCCTTGTTTATTACTACATACCTAAAAATATTTAGCCCGTATTGTTCTTATTTTTCTTCACCCAATTATTTTTTTTAATTGTTGGATATCGGTGACTCAGATTTTTGCTGTTCAAATACATTTATGTTCTAATTATAACTCTGAACCAGTTTTCCTGTGTTTACTAACAAGAGGCTATATCCGACGTAACCCCTCCAGTTTTATTTCTGTTTCCAATACGTTACAACACGTTGAGCTCGTTTTTATTACATGTTTAGTGTAGATGAGTTTTTGATATCCGTGATTTGTTGATTAGTTCATTCACAGCTGTGCCATGTTAGATTGGAATTACTACAACTTTAAAAGCAGCTTGGTATTTTCTATATTGTAGTGTTAATATATAATATTTATATATGAATGATATAATATTCTTATGAACTATATATACACTGATGAGAAAATTACGAGAGAATTTCTTTATGCCTTCATATTATGTTTTAACAGGAACGATTTACATATAAAACAGTAAAATTCCCAAAGATCCATATTTTGTTAGTAAACTAATACACAAACAACCGTTTTCATCTCTCTCTGTTGTCCCATTCTCCATCGTTTAGGCCTCTCTTACTCATGACGTCGTCTACTTCGTTCCTCCAGGATCTTCGGGTCGTCCTCTTTTCCTCCTTCCTATGGGGTTCCATTCGATTATTCTCTTTCTTTATCCATCTGCTGTCGATAGTTCTTCTTACATGTCCATACTATTTTAGTCTATTTTGTTCTATATTTGTTAGTATGTCTGTTTCTATTGCTGTTCTTTGCTTTATTTCGTCATTTCTTCTCCTATCCATTCTTGTTACTCTGCAGCAACTTCGCAGGCATTCCATCTCTGTTGCTACTATCTTACTGCTGTTTTTCTTGTTTATAATCCAATTTTCAGCCCCATGTGTCGTAATACTTCACACTAATGTTTTATAAATCTTTGTTTTTGTCTTCATATTTAGGTGTCTATCCCACCATACTAAATTAAGTTGTCGGATTGCTGTTCTTGTTTTGTTCTAATCTTAGCTTAATTTCTGCCTCCGTTGTTGCCTTTTTCGTGATTATAAACCCTATGTATTTGAATTTATCCTTTCCTTTGATTGTTACGTTGTCATCAATCTGTAGATCTTCTATGTTTTCTTCACTTGTAGGTACTCTGAATGTCTGAAGAATCCGTTGGTGATTTTTAAGTTGTTTAGTTCGCATAATTCAATCAGATGTTCTCCGTTATCGTTTGTATCGTTCGTATATTTCCTTATATTGTTGCTTTGAAGATTTTCTTCCATTTTCTGTTTATTGCCGTTTTCGTATTTTCTTTTCTCTGTTCGGCATATTTTATCGGCCCTCCGTCTTGCATCTTGGTAACTTGCCCTTCTTTCTCTGGTTCTTCTTTTCATATATTTCTTGTGTTCTTCATTTCTTTTCTATATGGCTTTATTACATTCGTCATTGAACCATTCCCTTTTTGCATTTTTCTTTTTCTTGCTGCGTCAATAACTTTTGTTTTGATTTCTTCCCAATGTTCTTCGGTGCCTAGACTGCCTGTGTCTGTCAGTGTTTGTGTTATTTCTCTCTCATAGTTCTGTTTGACATCTTGTTGTTTCAATTTTTGTATATCTAGCTGTTCTGTTCTTTGTTCCTGTCTTTCCCTCCTGCTTCTCTGAATTCTGCATGCGTATTTTATCTGTACTAGGATATGGTCAGATCCGCAGCATGCTCCTCTTCGGCTTTTCACATCTTGTATGCTTGTTGCGGCCCGTTTGTCTATCAAGACATGATCAATTTGGTTGGCGGTTGTTCATCATCATCATCATCATTGGCTTTTACAACTCTTCGTGAGTTTTTGCCGCGTTTACTATTGCCTTCCATTGATTCCGATCCTGTGCTATTATTTCCCATGGCCTTACTTCCATCTTCTCCAGGTCTTCCCTGACTGCGTCTTTCCCCCTTTTTCTAGGCCTTCCTGTCGATCTTCTACCATCTGGTCTTTCCCAAAACACATTGCTAATCAGTCTGTCGTCATCACTCCGTACCACGTGGCCTGCCCATCTTAATCTATTGGCTTTTATGTATCTTACGATGTTTCCTTTCCCGAAGAGAGTCTCTATTTCATTGTTTTATTATTATTTTATTGGCGGTTGTTCGTCCAGGCATAATCCATGTCGCTTTGTGTATGTCGGGGTGTGGGAAAAAAGTCGAACTTATGATCATGTTTTTTCTACTGGCAAAGTTGATAAGTAATTCTCCATTGTCATTGGTATTTTTATGGAGTTTTTATATATAGTTAACTATTTTACCAATAGTTCTTAAGAAAAGTTCTTCTTTGCCTATTTGAGCATTCATATCTCCTAGTACGATCTTGATGTCGTTTCTTGGTGAATATTATTATTAATTTAGCGAAAATATTCGATACTGTACTTGGGAATCTTATATATTTAGAAATATATGATTATTTGTATATTTAATAAAGATTATATATCAGTGATATATAGATATATAGATTATATATGTATCAGTGATAGTTGGATAATTTGTTTTGGTGAAAATTTGAGATATTTTCTTTTTTCCTTTGACGAGACTTTAATAGGTTTGTAATGGTTTATTTACTTACTATTGGAATTTAAACACCAATTTTACTACTATACTTTAAAATTATAGACTAAAATAATCAATTAACGATTACAATCTATATGCCAGTATGTGATAAGATCGTTTAATGGATACGGTGACAATGTATACACAATTAAACAAACGAGTGATGAGGTGTAATATGTTAACTTTGAATCTGACATAGACCTTATAGATTTCGATATGGCATTCAATGAAATCGATCGAAAACTGTTTTTAAAAGGAGATGGTACACAAAACATCTCATAAAAATTTTAAATATCGAATATGCCAATAATAAATTAGCTGAGCTTGTTCGCAATTTTGCCTTTGTCCTTTTTGCCTTAGAAGATATGGACTGTAACCAAATTCATATTAATACTCTCAAACTGACATCGCTGACTCTGATTGCTTGGTACATTTTCGTCCTTTGCTGTGTTTGTTTCTTTACGGACCATTCTTGTGCTACGAAAAATTAAAGAATGGACGATCGTGTGTCTTTTTTGTATGTCTCTGGATATTCGGCAGTTCAGAAATTTTTCCTATTGATAGGAAGATTCGTAAATGTTTCTATAAAATGTCTCTGTTTATTGCTCTCTCTTACGTCATTTTCGATACGTTGTGGATTGAGCTTGGTTTTCAAACTAAATATTTTCGGCAAACTTAAACGATCGACAATAACAAATTCACCTTTAGAAAAAACAGATAAAACTGGGCCTGCACAAACGCAGAAATTTTCTCAGACTCATTATAACAATTCATGCAAAACATACATCTCACTCTCACATTCTTTTTCTGCGTCATCTAGTTCAGATTCATCAGTATAATTTCTACAATTTTATACTTTTAGAGTACTTTCATAATCTATACAGAAATTACCCATTACAACACTTACTTTAGGCAAAAAATAAAAAAAAAACTCAAAAAATACGTATTTTGCACCTATAAACGCTCATTAATAAACAATAACCAAAATTTTTTTGTTGAATGAACTGGAGGATTGCTCCTGAGGTTGCCCTTTATAACCTAGGTCACAGTGGTGTTATTAACAACAATATACAGCATACTACATCTTCGATACTTTCCAATACAATGGAAATTTGCTCGAGTTACTATGATTCCAAAACCTGGTAAGCCTGGTAAACAACAAAAACAAATTCATATCGCCCTATAAGCCTACTCTTCCAATAATGTTGAAAGTGTCAGAAAGACTACTGTTACATAAATTCGAATAAGTTGTTCCCATAAATTCGAACTTTATAGAATATACCAGGAACCTGATATCATAAAACATATTAAGATAGGACATCTAAGGTGGATAGGGCATGTAATGAGGATGGAACAAAATGACTCAGCTAGAAAAATTCTCCTTGGTAGATTATCCTTCTGGATAATTTTTACTTTAATATGATGTATAATAACAAGATATATAAAAATAGCTGCATATAAATGAAGACTTAAATGATATATTCATAACCGACGCGACGTCCTTTGAATAATTATTATGAAATAGTGTCGCCTTGTTAGATCCTAATTTTCATATTCTCCCAGACATCAAATTATGTTAGTTATTTGGGTCAAAGCACAGCTAAGTTTCTAGTCTAAAACTATATTCGACATGTCTTGCTCCCGTGTTTCATTAACCCGTTAAACAGAAGAGCTCTGATTGCTAATTCGGTCTCCTACTAAATTAATTTATCCAGGTTAGAACTTGTAGCTTTGGCGTTCTAAACTATTAGACAGAACTTGAATGCAAATGAAGAAGAAAAATTATATCATGTTTCTATCATGCACTTATATTTTAATATAGATAGTAATAAGAAGTGAAATACTTTCACTTCTCTTTTACTTTCTGTCAACTATATTATAAAGAAATTTTTTCGATTTTGTTTTATTCGAAGATGAAGCAACGTTTCACAAAGACGAATGTGTCAATCGACATCAAACTCCACAACAAATTCTTCTTCTTCTTGCCCTTTATAAGCAATCTTGCTTGTTCATTGGCGGGTTAATACCTCTATGGAAGGTTATTACTCCATCTTTTGCGCGGTCGTCCGATACTTCTTCTGCCGATTGGTGGCTTATCTCTTGCTATTTTGACGACATATGTGTCGTCTACTCATGTGTCCAGGTGTCCATTCATTTATAAGGTAAATGACCAGTCATTGCCACTATAAGAAAGTTTATGCCATATTAAATAATTGCCACACAATTTTTCAAAATACCAATTATTGCCACACAGTCATTACCATACAGAAATAACTCTACATTTTACTGAAAAATATTGTTTATTAATAA